ACTAGATATGCTTATTAGTCCCTCTTTTTCTTATGTCTGCCACAGTTTGTCTTAGCTCTTTTAAATAGTTTATAAGCGGATGATTTTGAGGATCGGTGAACTATCACAGTTATAGCTAATGAATTAATTTGTAATACCGGTTGATGAAATGCATCACTACAGAAGATCATCTCCATTATCTGTTTATCTATGGTATTGTTAAATTTTCGAATTTTTGTGTTTTTAATAATTATGTCTGATCTGATCAATCTAGTAGTTTTACGATCTTCATGAAATGATATTTGTTACTGTCTAGATACACATGACTGATTTTAAGTGATATATTCAAGGGGTCAACATACAGGCAGAACCTTTTAAAATTAACTATTATCATTCAATGGATGGAAATTCATACCTTCACAATAAAACTGTTAATACTTCATGCCAATTGAATATATGATAGAAACTTTTAAAGTAATAAATACAATGGATAAAGTTTTTGATTGAGATCATGAATCGACTGATGTTAGACCACCGTTGGAAACGTGGAAGCACTGGACGGCCGTTTCGTCCTAGTATGGGACTCCTCAGCAGTGCGCATCAGTAACAGTGTAAACAATTATACGGATATAAAAGCATTCAGCTGATAATGACGAAATGCATATCTCAGAACTTACTGTTATCAAAGTAAATAAAGTTTTTCTGTGGTATGATGAAGATATGACTAAATTACACACAAGTGTGGACATCTACAGTTGTATAAGTAAATTTAGTGGCCATGTATTCGACTTCAGTTAGATCGGACGAATGATCGCTGTCATAATATACCTCCTAGCCACCATCGTATATAATTATCAACTTAAACCGCGTTGGTGAATAACGGAATTAACAAAGCCAAATACGAGAATGGATCTTTGAATATGTATATTTCGTGCAATCGTTGATCTGAATGCGAAACAAAACAAAGTAACGTGCAATAAAGGAGGCGAGTGAGCCAACTCAATTTAGCCGAGCGTGAATCGATATTTATAGTCCGACCAAAAATAAGTTACATTTGATGAGTAAGATAAAAAATATGCACACACATACTCTTACATAAAAACAGTCAAGGCTAATAAGCCAATAAGTGGCAGGGTAAAAATGTAACTTGAGAATGGATAAACTGATCTGTCAGAAAGCTAGAATAAGTTATTATGGACTTAACATAATAAACGACACTACAAGAATACAATCTGTGATCTTTAATTTTCGTCTGCAGTATTATACCATGCATAAAATATTACTATTAGGGTAATTTCTAAGTTCCTTCGGAACATCAAAGTTATGCAGTTTTTGTTTTTTGCAACATATATATATATATATATATATATATATATATATATATATATATATATATATATATATATTAAATGGTTGAAAGGTCATTTCATTTTGGGATTCTATTCAAGGAAAATAGAAGATAGTTTCAGGCGGCCTGGTTAAACATTTGGTTCATCTACTTTGTCAATTGTACAAATATTGCAGTTATTATTCCTATGTTATAATTGTTTGAACTCGATAATTATGAATGTTAACTGTATTTACATACACTTTATTAATATAGAGTGTATAAATTGAGATTGTAAGCACTGTAAAACCTAAATAAATACATTACAGTTATCGGCACAACTTCTTTTCTGTTTATCCTTTGATAAGACAAAAGATAAATGTATTGGTATTCAGGCCTCATATGTATAATAGATGAAAAAAGTATTTGTAACAGCTAAGCTGACAGTGAACTTTTTTGATGAAGTTTTGTTCTGTGATCTGAATGGTTTGGTCGTGCAGCTTTTAAGTAAAAGTTTATGTTGATAATGTCGTTCGGAAGAACGATGAAAGCCGCACCACCAAACCATCCAACTCAGAGAACAAAACTTCATCGAAACCGTCCACCTGAGCTACAAATCTCATGTATTCTTTTTCAGAATTTCTTTTGAATAATGGTAATTTAAATGTGTTAAAGAGTTATTTGTTGTATTTGTTGGGGAAATCCAGGAAACGCCTCGAAAAAAGTCACTAAAGGCTCTACTAACGATGAGAAGCAACTTATTTAATCAGCATTCACTAGGAAACATTTAGAAAGTGAAAAGCCACATGTCGAGTTTCTAAATGGATAATTACCTATACTGCTACTGTGTTTAGTAGCGTTTCAGAATTTCCCGGAAACCAAAGGTCATCTAAAATTCTATAAAAACCTTAGATTTTCTGTACATAAACGAACCTTTGTACTAAAGCATTTCTTCCATATTTCGCACCTTTACTCTCATGTTCAAGTTACTGTTTAAAATCCAGGTTGTGGGTTACTAAAAGAGCTTAATAACTGAATCTAGCGTTCAATTAGACTTATCAGTAATGTTACACAATTAATGTTAAGATTTCTATGCTGTAATCAAAATTTATTTTCTTGAGTCAAAATAGTTATTGTCAATCATTTTTCTTGAACATATGTGTCCTATCATTAAAAATAGTTAAGATTAAAATAAACTCTGTAAGAAATGATAAGAATCTAGGTTAAATAAACACTAACGGGAAGGAACAAAATAGAAATTAGAAAAATACCTTCGAATGTAAAAAAAATCATTGAGCTATATTTCATACATTTGTCAGTACCTTTGTTTGTGCATAAAACATACACACACACCCTCACTTACATACTCGTGTGTATATATATAATTACTCAATCGTGTATGTCTGTGCCTGTGTACACGTTAACATTTATCTATCCACTTATTTCTGTCTTCATGATTTCCTGTAATACATTTGTTACAATGACAGTTTGGAATTATTATGATTATTATATTTACCTAAGCATTAATGATTCATTGAGAATTTCATTTATTTTGACAAGTGATGTTAATTAAAGACAAAAGGAAATCATTAGTTGCTTTTTGAGTTGTTGCCGTTGTTGTTGTCACGGTTAGTGTTATTATAGGTACAAGAACATTTGGTAGTAAATAAGCTTATTACTTACAGTTTACTTGTTCTGTCTTTTATTAATTTAGTTGATGAAGGAATAGAAAAGGGATACATAGATGTTGGTTCATTCATTATTTTTAATAAAAGTAGTATGTGTTTATGAAATATAAGTAGTATGTTTGAAAAAAAACAATGAGAAATAATCTATATTAAATAAACAAGCGGGGTTAAAAGGAGCGTGATACAAAAAATGTGTACATTGCAGCTATTCAGGGTTGAGCTGTTGAGTGCAAGAATAGCATATGTTTCTAGTTTATCTAGTTGTTCTTCTGTTGTTCAGTATCCAATTGTTAATGACCTTTTACAGTTTTTCGTAATTATGATTCATTAACGGTTTTTCATTTCTCTTAGGTGAATAGTTGGTCTAACATTCATCGATTCATGTTCTCAATCAAAAACTTAATGATTTTCACAACTCCATAATGAAAATGGGTTGACAATTACTGAATATATTATCAATTGTAAAGTTTTATAGCCCCAAAATGCCCTTGTACGGCTGAGGGTAAGTAGAGTCAGCCCTTATCGAAATGCTCTCACATAACCACGTATATACAGCCACTGTCAGGGAAGTCCTACTCACTGCCTTCTCTCGACGAGGCTGTTGTTTACGAAATTGAGGGGACGAAAAGCGAATATCTGACGCTTTAACCAGGTTGGTGGATATGCAGGATCCACCTAGGACAGTTGGAAAACCCTGATTTCAAACCAATGGTGCATATGGCCTTCAAGATCCTGAGGGAACAAATTGCGTATGAACCAATTGTTGGTCACCGGCTACCATGTGACTGCATCACCTGACATTGCTTCGCTGCCTTGTGGATTAAACCTTTAGGTCAAAGGCTCAAGGTGTGGTCCACTATGAAAACCATCTGCTTTGGTCTGGACACTCGGGCAGAATCACAACCCACACACAAATCAAGTGACTTGGGTAGCTCATATGTATTTGGTGCCCATTTTTATCAAGATTTATGTGTACAAATAAATAAGAGTTTCATAGAAGCATTTACAATCTGAAAATCACATATATTCTTATAACTATTCTTGTCTTTTATATATAAACTGTCAATTAGATCTTGTTTCATCATTTTTGCTGTATATTTTCTGTTTTATAGTTGAAGAGTAGATCATTTCTAGAGACTAAGTAGCGGTTAGGAATTTCGTATCTAAGCTTACTCTAACAGATTTTAATACTTCCACAATTGATATCTATTCTTGACATATATTCATCTCAAACAATTCTTTTCTTTAAATTCATTTGGTATTGCTTACTTGAATCTTCCCATTGATGTTCAGGACTGCGATTGATTAATCTCTTATTAGCATATGTGCATGCTGTGCGTATTGTCCCGATATTACCTTAAATTACAGGCATTATAAACAAAAATGGATATTGGCTAGCAGTAGCTAAGTGGATAAATTGATGGCGTTTGAAGCGAAAGGTATAGGTTTCGAGTCCCAGAGTGAAAATCAAATCTGAGATACAAGTACACCCAGCTGACCAGTCTTAAATAGAACGAAACGCGCTCTCTGGATTCCGCTAATACCCACTATTCATCTTTGCTTATAATGCTTTTCTTTATTAATTAATACTATCTATATGAATACATTTTGCATTTCCCAGAACAGAGTTGGATGGAGAATCCTAGTGAGCGGCCTATGCTAATCCATGAGGGAGGAATTAGGCTTAAGTAATTAAGTAATTTTACATTTATTTTAATTAAAATATTAAAAAAGCGGTGACAAAACAAACAATAAAACGCTTCCTACTCTCTCTATCTCTCTTTATCTTTCTTTAATAGTTGAATTCATGAGGTAATTGAAGTTATACCACCATGAAAAACATGGAAGCACTGGACGGTCATTTCATCCTAATATGAGACTCCTCAACAGTGCGTTCCCACCATCCAACCCCGAGGCGGTAGCGCAATCTCGTGTATTGGTTGAAGTTAGACAATAACACTGTTGGATACCAGCCGACTCAGTGGTCAAATGGTTAAACATTTGCGCGCGAGACCGTAAGGTTCAGGGTTCAAATCTTGCAAGATGTGATCTTGGATACGCACTACTAAGGAGTCACATACTAGAACGAAACGACCGTCCAGTACTTCCAGCTTTTCCATGGTGGTCTAGCTTCGATTGATCCATAAATTCAACGAATAAAATGACTATAATATCCCCGAAAACCCTTCTCTGTTCATAAAAATATCACTACAATATTAGACACCAATAAATCAAATAAGAAAAACAAATTCGTTTTCTTTTCTATCACTTTTTTTTATTATTTCTTAATACAACAATGAAAAATGGAAATGCATAAATTTCTTCTTATTTTTTCTTTCACATATAACTACCATACACATTTGATTGTAACTCACCTTGTCTTGTTTTTTGTTTTTTTTTGTTTACTTTACTTTAATACAATGTTGATTGTTATGATTAAAAAGAAGAAAGAAAAAAGAAAAAAAGAAAGAATAACACATTTGTAGCTTTTAAAAAATATTCTTAAGTTAAAATGAATTCTAGTTATTCTCTTTGTTGTTGTTTTCTTTTTTTAATAAAAAGATGATTTATATCCAATAATCAATTATAATCATTTTCGGTTTCATATGTGAATGGTATTACGTAATATATTTTTTTGTTTTTTTTTTGTTTTGTTTTCTTGTTGTGATGACAACTATAGATGAAAGTTCAACTCACCGTAGAAAATTATATATATTTATACTTATAGGATTATAATGATACTATCATCAATATATCTATGAATAACCTTATTGATATTATGTAATAAAAAAAACAAAAAAACAAAAAAATGTAAACGTTAAATTGACAAAATGAACTGGTAATATATAAACAGAATACTTTTTCAGATATATATATATATATATATATATCATTTGGTTAAAATAGTAATCTTGGGTTTAATTGAACATGGAAAAAGAGAAGGTAGCAACAACAAAAACAACAGCAAGAACAAAAAAGAAAGAAAAGAAAATTTTTTTTATATATTTCTATAGAATGAAATTATTTTGATTTAAATTCATTTAATTTTAATTGATTATTAGTTCCAAGTAATTCACTTAATTGTTTTTCATATGTATCAATATTTCTTTGCATAACTTTAAGACATGGTCCCATTAAACGTTCAAAACTTGCAACATCCAAAACTTGAAAAAGAAAAACAAGAAGAAATGTATACAAATTAAAACAATATGATATTGTTCATAAATATGGATTAGATTGTAAATAGTATCTTCTCTTTTAAATAGTTGAGATCATGAGTTAATTGAAACTAAACAACCATGGAAAACCTAAAAGCATTGGATGGCCGTTTTGTGCTATTGTGGGACTCTTCAACAGTGTATATCCATAATCTCGCCCCGTGAGATTCGAACCCAGGACTTATCAGTCTCGCGCACAAGAACTTAACCTCTACACCATTCAGCCGGCCGGAATTCAGCGGTGTTAATGTCTAACTTCAACTAATCCACGAAATTGAGTGACACATACATCATTGTCTTTAATAAGTTACTAACTCACAACAGATCTAGTTGAACCCCATTGATCACCGCTTCTCACTAGGATTCCTGGAAATACCTCTTGAAGCCAGTCACTAGTAAGCATATATTGATTAGTATCAGAAGGGGTAGTATGTTTTTTAAAAAAAAACTGAATAACTGTATTACATTTTTCTAATGTTGGGTTATAGTTTAATCTGTCTTATTCCAATTTTATCGATTTGATGTATCTAAATCCCACTGTTGATGTTTATATTAAGTTTCAGCAACAAAGAAATACATACTCTATTATTAATAATTATTATCATATTTAGTGAATAAGGTGATGATTATTGCGGCTTAGTTATTTATTAGATGGCTAATATTGACGTTCAAATGAACAGAAACCTGTTTCATATCTCCTTGTGATTATTAATACTAGTATCTAATTATATCCATCTAATGGATCTCAGGTAAGATGAAACGAACTATTTAGATCCGATTAAAAACCAATATCTAGAAAAATAATAAAACATTTAACATAACGGAACATATCAAATGATTTATTGAATAAATTCTGTCTCAAATATCAATAATAGAAAAAGAAAACATTAATCATATATGATAATGGATAATAAAGAATGATGTAATCGGTTTCATTCTTATTTTACCTTTAATTATAACAATCCTATACTTAATATTAATTGAAAATATGGTTTTTTGTGTTTAATTCAGTGTAATACTTAAATGCAAAGTTCTAATGAATGTAGATTGAATTGAATCTTCAACGTATATGCATAATTGAACCAAATCTTCTTTATTATAATCCGAACATGTTTATTTGTATGTAATTGAAATATCTTTTAATCCGATATAATTACTAACCATTGAGTGGTTAATGGGCGGAAAGTAGAATATATATATATATATATATATATATATATATATATATATATATATATATAATGCGTAGGATATACCTTTTCATGTTATCTAGTTGAATCTCTAGTTCTTATTCTACTTGAAAAAAACTGAAGTATACTTATTCTTAAAAGAAGGAACATGTTGTGTATTTTTGGCTAAATGTTGAATAATATTACTTAATGACTCTGAAGAACAGTAGTATTTCAAAAAATATTTTTCAGTTAGTATAAACATCATTTAAAAATATAATTATATGGAGAATGTATACCTTTTTAGTGGAGTTTTGTTCTCTGAGCTGAATGGTTTAGTCGATGAAAAGCTGATGATATCCTTTGATGTAACAGCGTTATTCACTTCAATTGAATCAAGCTTAGCAAAGGAAATTCTATCCCTACTTCTTACCAACGATGCAAATCTTGCAAAGTATATTAAGCTTCAAAGACAAAGTTTACTAGAATGAATCGATTTATGCTTAATAACATATTTTCAATTCAACAACAAAATCTGTGAGCAGACACAAGGGACACCAATGGGACCACCAATATCAGGACTTATCTCAGAAACAATGATGCAGAGACTAGAAGCCTCAATCTTACCAGTGATCAAGCCAGAAATCTGGATTCGTTATATGGACGACACATTTGTAAAACACGACCAAACTATCCAGCTCAGAAAACAAAACTCCACTAAAATAATCCATCTGAGCTACAAATCTTCTCCACCATCTCAAAAGTTATACCTTATTCTAATAAGCGAACAATTTTCGTAAGAATAAACTTGTAAAAAAAACGTCTGTTCAGCCACTTCAAAATGATAATTTGATGCTATAAAGACAAAATTTGTGGAAAGATTGCCGAAGCAATACCTATACATCTGAGAAAACTAGAATTGTGTGTCCATAAAAGAGATTGGTACAAATTTTTCTTCTACTATGGTCTTAATGTCATATATATATATATATATATATATATATATATATATATATATATATATATATATATATATATATATATATATACTCTACTGCCTTTACAGCTATCTGCTTCCCTTTCCATCTTCTCCTTAAGCTTCCCCCAAATGGTTTATTTCCGTTTCTTTATTAAACGGAATACATCCATTAAGACATTAAATAAGAAAAATTGGTTCAAAGAAGAGTTCCCCTTTCCGCGAATTCATTTTCACAGCTGTACAATCGCAAATATATATACCTAACTTTTTCAGGATGATAATAATTACAATAATAATGATAATAAACTTCTGTTAGACATTGTGACAGTAAGGTAGAATAAACAAAGGTATTAAAAAACATTTTTTTAAAACCGGGAACTAATAATCGTTTAATTGTTAATGGCTTTAATTTTTATCGAAAGATAGTAATCAACCAAAACTACTTAGAAACAATAAAGACTTGATTACAACACGTCCTTATAAGGGTATAGGTTTAGTGCTGGCAGACGGCAAGATTTATGTTGAAAAAATGACAAAGTTATTATCCAATGACACCAAATTCTCCATACCAATCAATGAGAAAAACGAGACTGAAATAATAGAAAAGCAAATGATTGAAGTTCTTAAGAGAATAATAAATGATCAGTCAATCTTTGAGCCCATAAAACCAACACGATCAATAATACCGCGATTATATGATCTTCCAAAAAGACAAAAACCTAGCCTACCTCTCATACCAATTCTTGATATGTTTGGATCCCCTTACCACTCTATGGAAAAGTGGCTGGCAGACCTTCTAGAACCCGTAAGAAAATGCAATTTGAACATGATACTTTCTAATTCATTGAACACATAAAAGAAGTGAATGTAAATGACAAAATTATGCTATCTCTGGATGTCGATCACTATTCACTAATGTTCCACTCACATAGACTATCAGTTTTATCTGCAATTATGCAAATAACAATGCGATTAGCATCGGAATACCGGAGGTTTATTTGAAGGAACTATTACTACGTTGCACTTGCAATGTACAGTCTACATTCAACGACGTAATTCATAGACAAAATGATAGCATAGCAATCGGATCCACTGTTGGTTCATTACTAGCAGATTGCTTCATGGTCAGTTTAGAAAATAACCGCCTTAAAACGACTAGAGGAAACCTCCATTTGTATAAAATGTACGTAGATGATATCTTTATCATTTGTGACAACAAATACGATTTGAGTCATCATCTAAAGACATTCAATAACTATCACCCAGCTATAAATTTCACACTTGAAGTTGAAAACAAACAAAATATTCATTTTTTTGATGTGGAAATGACAAAAAAATAAGATGAAACTAATAAGACCTATCTACAGGAAACCCAAGTGGGATGGCCAACCATCAAGTTTTCACAATTGGGTCCCCAATAGTTGAAAAAGAAACTTAATAATATAACTAGCCATGAGAATACAAAGAATTTGTAGTCCCGACATCATAGATGACGAACTGGGCCTCTTGAAGGAGATACTTATCAAAAACGGGTATCCTTTGGTATTCATTGATAAGAACATAAAACCGAAACCTCCTAAAACACAAATTATGAGTAAACATCGACTTGATGTGTGACAGAGCCACATACGTCTCAAAGAGGAGGATTTCTGATTCTTTGAAAAAAAAACGGTCTTCGCAGCCATGTTGTGAATAGTATACTCCAGCCGATCATTGTTAACCAATAATCTTAAAGATAAATTATCTCATTTGTCAAACTCAATGTGCATTTACCAATTTATCTGTTCATGTGGAGCCAGGTATATAGATCGTTCGATGCGTACTTTATCCGAAAGAATTCAGGAACATTATCCGGCGTGGCTAAGAAGAGGAGGGAATGACTCAATATGAAGTTCAATAATCGAACACCTTGTGAACACAGGTCATTCAATCAAGACAGACTCTGCGTTCAAAGTCATCTACAAGGAGGGTAGAAGTCTACCAAAGACAATTATATTGCATCTTCTTAGCATTGTCAAAGCAATAGCCATACAACTGGGAAAACTAGAATTGTGTGTGCATAAAAGAGATTGGTATAAACTCTTCTTCTACCATGGACTTAATGTCTTATGATTTTTTTTCACACTCTTTTTTCTTTATAGCCATCTGCTTCTTTTTCCATTTTCTCCTTAAACCTTCTACCTCCGAATGGTTTATTTCTGTTTCTCTGATCCTCCTGATTACATTTTATCTCATCATGCTGGGCGATCCTTTCTCAATAATAATTTCCCACTCTATCTTTTGAAGAACATTTAAGCCATTAACAATCAAACGATTATTAGTTTGATGCGCACTGCTGAGGAGTCCCACAATATAACGAAACGGCCGTTCAGTGCTCCCAGGTTTTCCATGGTGGTCTAGCTTCAACTGACTCATGATCTCAATAATTGAAATTACTATAAAATCCACAAAACCCCTTCTGACTATTGGTTTCCCTGTTCATAAAAAAGTATTTTTAATACCCTTGTTTATTCTACCTCACTTTCACAATGTCTAACAGAAGTTTATTATCATTATTATTGTAATTATTATCATCCTGAAAAAGTTAGGTATGTATATTTGCGATTGTACAACTTAGAAAATGAATTCGCAGAAAGGGGAACTCTTCTTTGAACCAATTTTTCTTATTTAATGTCTTAATGGATGTATTCCGTTTACCGAAAGATTTGTTAATAAATTGAACTAATATAGAAAAGGTATGTAGTTCAAGTGGATGATTTAGGTGAGCTAGAAAGTTTTCGAAACAGTTAATAATTACATCTAATCATAATAAAAATGATATTGTATTTCAATAAGTACGTTTTATAAAACAGTTTTCTATTGTTTACACAACAATATGAATATGCTGAGGAGATGCACAATAGGACGAAACACCCATCCAGTGCTTCCAGGTTTTCCGTGATGGTTCAGCTTCAATTGACTCATACTCTCAACTATTGAATTACGAACACAATTAATAAAGTAACAGAATAAACAATTATAAGAGATAGTTGAGTGATGGCTAGCATTGAAATTCAAGACGCATATTTTATCTTATTTGGGACTTGTCAGTTGGATATACTAGTTCAAAATGTGCGTCCTAGATTCCACTACACGTCACCATCCAACTCCGTTGAGTCGATTACTTGTGACTTAACGGTGTTATTGATGCAATCCGAACAGGATACACATTTGCCAAAAAGAGCCTGATCAACTGCATTCTTAAGCACCATGAGAAAGATACAAACAGTCAGTACAAATGAATTATAGGATATATATATATATATAAGTAACGTTAAAAAAACAACGTTGAATCATTAGACACTCACCCGCTAGTTTTGTCTCACCGACAGCATAAGCTGAAGCAGCTCTAGGTCGTTTGGTAATTAATGCCAATTCTTGAAAATTTAATGAAAATAGAGAAAAGATTTATGATAGTTACCTCATTTATTGAATTACTTACTTCATAAATTATATTCTTGGACAGCATGAGCGGGAAATCTTGATGTTAATTACATGCAAATATACAGTCCTCATGTTTAAGGTCATTTAAAATCAGATTTATATTTGGAGAAAATCATCTTAGATAATAACAGTATGTGCTCACTAGTAACTGGTTTCAAGATGTATTTCCTGGAGTTCTAGTGAGTAGACTTGACCAGTGGAGTCAAACCGTGTTTGTTGTGAGGCAGTTACTCACTGAAGACCATCGTAGGCGGTCACGCAATTTAGTGAATTCATTGAAGTTAGACATTAACACCGTTAGATGCCAGCCGGCTCAATGGTCTAGAGGTTGAGTGTTCACGCGCGGGATCATTGCCACGCTCTACTGATGAATCCCATGCTAGGACGAAACGGCCATCCAGTGCTTCCAGTTTTTCCATGGTGGTCTAGCTTCAACTGACCCATGATCTTAACCGATGATATTACATAATTGTCAACACTATTTCTTTCGATCGCATAAATATTCATCCAGCCAACCAGAATGTAAATAAAGCTTTTTGTGAGAATAGTTAAAAGAACTATGATATTACATAAACTGGATGATAAATGTTAAACTGCGCTTCTCTTGATATCAGAGGTTAAATTATCCGTTCTGAAAGTTGTTTGCATCCTTGTTTTTTTTAAATTCTCAATTCTATTTTGTAAAAGATCATTTTGAATGGATTTAATAGACAGATGAGTTGTTGATGTAAAAAACATGATAATATATCTTTCAGAACTAATTCCAATGTTTCCCAAAGTTTCGTTTCGAAGCTACTAGCTAATACGTATAAAATTATCACTATCGTTTGATTAATAATTCTACAGTGACTAATATATATTTGTTTAGTTCTTTGGTATCAATCTGATTTTAATAACCAAATTACAATATGATCAAGTTACTCGATATAATCTGTACTATATAGATTTGCTGGTTGGTTGGAGACAGTTGTCAGGATACTCGCTTGACTTAAGGTTTCGAACTAGTTAACACTCGAAAGCAAGACGTATCTATAAGATTCAAATAACTGATGCTACACACGGGATTTGAACTAAATTTATCCATTTTCGCAACCTGAGATATTCGGGTCTTTTCAGTTTCCTGATGAACTCTCTGAAAAACTCCAATCATACTAAATTACAGATATATTAACGAAGAATTTTCTCACAATTAATTGATCACTGGGTGGTGAAGACGCTGATAAAATGCAGAGTCTTTTGGTAGCACTGAGAAGCAATGCCAGAATGTTTGGGATGCATTTCTCTCCCTCGAAATGCAAGTTGTTGTTTCAGGACTGGTCTGCGTCAACACCTGAACTAAGGATAGGGAGTGAAGTAGTCAAACACGTTGACAACTTCACTTATCTTGGAAGTCTGATCAACCCTAATGGGTTGATGCCTGACGAAATCTCAGCATGGATTCGAAATGCTCGTTTGGCCTTTGCCAACTTACGCGACCTATGGCGAAGGCGAGATAACCATCTATCAATTAAAGGACGAGTATACTGCGCGGCAGTTCGTTCTGTTCTACTTTACGGCTGCGAAACATGGCCATTAAGAGTAGAAGATACTCGTAAGTTACTAGTGTTTGACCACAGATGCCTTAGAAATATTGCTGGTATCTTCTGGAATCACCAGGTAAGTAATAAAGAGGTTAGACGCAGGGTATTAGGGAATGATGGTAAATCAGTTGATGAGGTTATGAATCTTCATTGACTGAGATGGTTAGGCCACGTGCTGCGTATGCCTGAACACCGATTACCACGGCGCGCAATGCTAACCGGTGTTAGGGATGATTGGAAGAAAGTGAGGGGCGGCCAAACCAAAACGTGGCATCAGTGCTTGAAGTCACTAACTTCTGGTCTGAGCCATGTTGGTAGATGCAGACTACCTGGTTGGGGTCCGCGTGACTGTCGTAACCAATGGTTGGAGACTCTTGGTGACATGGCTCAGAATCGATCACAATGGCGTCGGTGTATACACTCTCTATCTTCCTTTAAACTAAGAGATTAAAATCGCTTCATATCTTTCTTTCTACGAACTAATTCTTTCTTCCTGTACTATCTCCTTATATGCAATCTTTCTTCTATATATTACTACCACTGGATTAACTATTTCTATGAATCCGGTGTTCATCTTGTTGTGCTAATGCGGTATGGTAACTTGGACCGATGCATATACGTGCCTGGTCCTACGTTGCAGCCGACTGACTGACTGGGTGGTGATCAATGACATGTGTGTCAAGTCCTTCTTAATGCAGATCGAATGCTATCGACCAAGTTGCAATGTGGCCGTCAGTCTAGGTGACTCGACACCGCGTGTACTAGTTTGAGATTAGATGGTGGTTGGAGGCAGTCGACAGGAAACTCTGGACCCGGGTTTCGTACTACTTGGCACTTGTCAGCAAGGTGTACTTGTAATCCTTGAGGGAACTGGTGCTCCCTGGAGGATTTGACCCCGTTTCACCCAGTTTCACAGTCACTGAGCTATTCGGGCCACGACCGACTTCCTGTAGGTTTGAGATGTAACCACAATTGATTGATCAATGGGTGGTGATCAATGTCATGTATGTCCGGTTCCAGGGTTTCTTTTTTGACTAAGTCCAACCACCATCTAATCTGAAGAATATTCTTTTCAATAAAACGACTTCAGATTCTATAGTTATATATCCAAATGAATAATCTAAGAAGTGGATAGGTTCAAGGCAAATAAATTGTTAAAATTATAGCATGTGAATTTAAGATGTTTCAGGGATTTGCATTCTTGTGCTCGCGAGGACCTTCCAGTGTGGTTAAGCGAAGGTATAGTTAGAACTGTAGACAGCCTAATGCTAACGAATTTAATACAAACGAGTCATACAACTAACATGGAGAAAACATTTACAATAATATATATTGTGTTAATACGAATACGAAGTGTTAATTACGTTTATTATGGGACCACACACAGATATCCAAAATTACAGATGCGTTAAGCTAGCATGAAAGAACTGTGCCGAAAATCAAACAGGCACGCAAGCAAGGGAGCGAGTGAGAGAGAGCGAGAGCCAGAGAACGATAGAGCGAGACGAGAGCAATCGATATGAATATGAATAACATGGACATATATATACATAGTGAAATGAATGAATCATCGAATCAATTAAGCGGTTAATAGTAAGGCTAGCAGCGTGAATAAATGCGTAGGTGGTAAGGCTTGCTCAAGCATACATTTTCATACATTCGCAACAGTAATAGGATACAATGATATCGATAAATTGTTGTATGGATGACTCAGTTCGTTAATAGGTTAACAAAATGACTTAAACGAATTAAATGTGAACAAGAACAGTAGCAGGTGAGCTGTTATAAGATCATGAACTGATTGACCACTACCGAAAACCTAGAAGCACTGGACGGTCGTTTCGTTTTATTGTGGGACTCTTCAACAGTGCACATTCACGATCCCGCCCGTGGGATTTGAACCCTGGGCCTTTAGTCTCGCGTGTAAACGCTTAACCTCTAGACCACTGATAATTTTATTTTATCTTAAAGACAATCCTAAATTGACATTTCTATCATTTTAAACATTGTACTTGTCTTAAACCTGAACAATTTTGGGATTATTAATTTGAATATATAATTACATAAATTGAAGGTAATTTATTGAAAACAATATTCTTTGTTCATATATCTATGTTTTAAATATTTAACTGTAGTATAACTTAACACGCATCACGAGGCAAGAGCTAACTTGGAATCCTGAAGGGAAACAAAAAGGAGGAAGGCCAAAGATTACACTGAGTCGGAAATCGGAAGCAGATATGAAAAAGGACAATAGCAACTGGGAAGAACTGGAAAGAATTGACGAGGACAGAGTTGGATGGAGAATGTCTATGCTCTTCCATGAGAGGTATCAGGCGTAAATAAGTAAGTAAGTATAACTTAACGCAGATGGATAGTGGACGCGAGTTTCATCCTATTTGAGACTCGTTAGTTGGATAAACATCAACTCTAGGATGCAGGTAAATCCAGATGATCAGTTCTAAATAGAACGAAACACGCATCCTGGATTCAAGCCCTGTTAGCCATTATTCATCATTGCTTATAAAGCTTTTGATTTAAGACAATATCGAGGCAGTCCTCACAGGATGCATGTATGCTAATAACAAACTGTTCAATTGCAGTCTTAAACAATAATAAGAAGATATAAACAACACAATACCAAATGAATTAAAGTTAAACTAGCTTATAATCACTTATCAAGTTTGTTATGCTTCTCAATGAAGGTCTAAGTAAATATTTTCAACTTTACTCTTCTATAAATGATTCTATCAAATGTTTATTTACTTAGATAAAAGGTTAATCAAGCAAATTTGACATAACATAGTTAAAAGGAAATACATAACTGTTTACACCGACTTTTTGTTTTTGAATTAAGCTTATCTTTTCCATTGACCTAGTCTAACTAGATTTTTATTATTTTAATATTTATTTATATGAATTGAATTGTTGTCGTATATTTTATGACTGATAAAAAGCTGATTTGTTTGTATAGAACTGATAATGTCAAATAATGTTTGACTACTTCTTTTTAAAAAATGGGCAGCATTATTGATGAACATGGTGGATCTGATGTAGATGTGAAGGCATGGATCGAGCAAAGCAAGAGCAACATATTTACAACTGAAGAACATCTGGAACTCAAGACAACTGCCTGTCAACCAACATCAAGGTCAGGATTTTCAATACAGATATCAAGACAGTTCTACTAAGTGTAGCGGAAACCTGAAGAACTACGAAAGCCATCATCCAGAAGATATAAGTGTTTATTAGCACTTGACTATGCAAAATACTTTGGATCCGTCGACCAGACACTATCAGCAACAACCTTCTATGGGAGAGAACAAACCAGATCTCAGTGGAGGAAAAAATCATGAAGAAGCGCTGGGAATGGATAGAACACACATTGAGGAAAGCACCCAATTGCGTCACGAGGCAAGCCCTCACATGGAATCTTCAAGGTCAAAGGAAAAAAGGAAGAACAAAGAACACATTACGTCGAGAAATGGAGATAGACATGAGAAAAATGAACAAGAATTGGATAGAACTGGAAAGGAAGGTTCAGGACAGAGTGGGTTGGAGAATGCTGGTCGGCGGCCTATGCTCCATTGGGAGTAACAGGAGTGAGTAAGTAACTTTTTTTAAAAAAAAGATTGTTTATTTCTTCTCAAGATGAAGTTTGTGAAGAATTAACATCACTTGGAGAATTAATAGACAATAGACAACTATCTGAACATTCACAATCTTATGTAAGTTTGAAATGATTACGTAAGATTATCTTTGGATTAGTGAATTAAAATCCAGAAGTTCACATGATTGACTTCATCTAATTCGAGATATTATACAATGGTTAATCACTGTTATGAATGAATTAATGTTTTACTGTCAACATTATTCAGTTGCACCATTTACTATTACATGAAATATAATGTATAAATAGTGATAAAGAGTTTTTGAAATCGAAAAGAAAAGAAAACTATCTAGAATTGTAGGTTTTCAACTATCTTCTAAGGGATTTCAGTTAATGAGAATATGTATTTACATTTAAAGACATACATTATTGTGACAACTAGTAACTAACTTTGACAGGTAATCTCAGCAATTCTGATGCGAAGACGTAATTTATGAAGTTCAGCCATTTCAAGTATAAAATAGTTATTCATATCATATAATAGAAAATGATTGATCACTATCATAAGTTCATTCAAGTTAAACATGTACGTCTATTGGACGCTGAATCATTGGCCTTTATTTTAAATATTTGCCTCAAAATCGAGGGTACTGGGCTTGATTATTAGTGACATTGTAAATTTGTACTGTTAGAAAGTTGTATGTTAACACGAAACAACCATCCAATGTTCGATGATTTTCAATCGTTATCTAACAAAAATAATTTTATCATGTAAACTATAATAGTCGTTATATTTGTAAAAATAGTTCTCATCTCAAGGAATGTCAATAGTTTATTTCTAACGTCTATTCAACTATCAACTATTGTATAACTATAACCGATTTATTTATTTTTAACATGAAACTACTTCATATGGCACTTTTATATTTACATCCATTAACGGTACGGAGGTTGACGGTCTACTGGAATATTTCGGCTATTTGTTCCTACCATCAGAATATTTGAACAAGTTCCATGTTTTTGTTTGTTTGTTTTAACACATTATTATATCTAGTAATCTCATGATCTATTCAGGAGCGTTCATCGAAAGTTTACAACCTTTCTCTGTACAAGTAAAGAAAAAGCATAATCACAGGAATTGTAGTGTCTGGCAATATGTGTTGAAGAGAATATATATTATTCATAGTTCGATTCTTGAACTGATAACACTTAATTGGCCATCACTCAATATTTATTGACATTATCGATCAAGGAATAAGAAACGGAAACTTGTTGAAATACTTTGTGCTACGAATTCCATATTGTACCAAAAACTTAAATATTGAATAAGGCCATTAATAATAATAATAATAATAATAATAATAATAATAATAATGTATCATACCTCCGAAGTAAGCACCTTTACCAACTCGACTCAATTCTACTTCTTTTGAATTCTATAGTAGAAATAATAAAAAAAACCTTATTTAATAAATACAAAAACTTATTTAGGCTCGTCTTTTTATCAATCAACTAAATTTATATAATTTGGATAATTTAATTATGGTAATTATGTTGTATTTACTACTGATATTTTAGTATTCAGTAGGCGGTTTTACATTTTCTAAATAACCATAGATTAATATCTTAATAGTCTGAACATTTAAGCTTGTAAGTGTCATTAGGTGAATTAACGTTTAGTTGGAAAGGGAAGATTAAGTCTAACCAATAATGTTTAATAATATAACAGAATAGGAAGTTTTACATCAAATGGGTTGCATTATTATATAGGAAGTTATCTGAAGTCATTAGACAAAGAAGTGATTATTACTAAAGTATAGTGATGTTTGATGGAGTTTTGTTCTCTGAGCTGGATGGTTTAGTCGTGAAGCTTTCATCGTTCTTTTGAACGACATCATCAGCACAAAATTCGGATAGTGATGTTTCTTTATTTAAGTATCAATTCTTTGAAATAATTCAATATTATAAAATTGGAAATGATTTTAAATTTTGTGCTATACATGCTTCCAAGCATACAGAAAAATAACGCCAATGTAAATCTTAGAATAAGGATGTAATGGTAAAAATTTTAAAATTACACTATACTAGGAAGAATTCGAACTGAGTCACATGTATCCTAACTTTAGACATTTAGTTTGTAGTGACCTACTTTTGTAAACAGAACGCGATTGGTTCAATGAAAACAATTAATATTATAACCAATTGTACCAGTGATTGTTTTACTGTGCTCGTTTGTTTAACCGTGCTAATGACAGATATTACTCTCTCGTTGACTTTGAACTTGTACGAATTTGGTTACGCTCAGTAACCACGCTTGTACTCCTTTGGCACGATCTCGGTATTCTTTCGATACCACGAGATCGCCAACAAATACATCTCGACTACAGCCATCATCTGCCTTCTGATATTGGCCTACGGGGATCTTATTGGTTAATTGGCACGTAGTCTTCTTGTAGCGGTGTACATAGTCAATCACGACTCGACACCACGCTACAAGTTATTCACTAATTATGCAAATTGTAGTTGTGTTTTGATATGAGATGCGGCCTGAATTTATCTGAAAGAAATAATGCGTATTCAACTTAAGGACAGAGATTACAACGTGGAGAGGTGGGTTAACATCTTCCCTTTTTAGAAAGAAATTACATGTGCTAACCTCACTCAACTTACTTTGATCTAAGCAGTCAGATAACGTCACGAACCCTTATGTGGCTCAAAGTCGAGTACATTGTAGTGTCAGTTCCTATGTTAAGCGCATGCAACGTCTTCTAGCTTTCAAACAGATCAATTTATTCATTCTTAATGAGTCACATTTTAGCATTGTCAGTTATTCGCTAACTAACCTTGATTGTATTTATATGATCGTATGTGTGCTAGTTACTTACCCTACTCATCACATGTCTGTAGCCTATTTTTGTGTGACTTGACTAAATTGAGTTGTTTCACACACTTTCACCACTGTGTGTCTATTTGTTTCGCTTCGCTCTCTCTTATTCGCTTTATTCTCTGCGATTCTCTGATTGTTAGTTCAAACCAATGAGCTTACAAAATATACGTATTCAAATATCCATTCTCGTATTTGACTTATTTAATTCCATTATTGACTAATGCGATCTAAGTCGATAAAAATATACGAGAATAGTTAGGACGTATATTTCGACAGCAATCATTCAATAACGATCATTCATTTGATCTAATTGGAGTCAAATATCGGGCCACAAAAGCATAAATCTGTTCTTGACAAACGGGTTACTTTCTTCTAATGATTAGTTTATTTTGGTTATAAGGTCAGTACTAAGGAAACTGATGTAATTTTTTATTGTATGATCATATTTACATTAAATATTATTCAACCTTACCTCTTTAACACTAATTCTTACAGTTCCTGATTCAATAATAAACATTTCTTTGCCAGTTTCACCTTGAGATATAATAGTTGCTCCATCTTGATATACTCTAGATTGTAGAGCATCAGCAACATTTGTACGTTCATAACTACTTAATTCTTTAAGTAATGGAATATCCTCAAGCAATTCTATATATGTTTGACGTTTATGAAAGGCTGCTTTAAGAACAATACGTCGAAAAGTATTTCTATCCATAAGCCATAGTATACCATTTGTAGTAGCTATTATAGAAGCAGCCCGTGATGTATTATACATTAAAGCAAGTTCACCAAATGAACCATGACCATTGTACGATCCAACTTTTTCACCAAGTTTCTCTTCAGTTGACTGATTCTGTTTAACATATATATCATAGGTGCCTCTAAAGTATATAAGAAATATTAAATATGTGATACATTGTAATATGAATAATGAATATAAATTGTTGTAAGAAAAATAAGACTATAGTATTTCGGTTGTACCGATGCAAGTATTTTATTTTAAAATATTAAAATTCCCTAGTATTTAAGTCAGGATATGACAAATGTAAGAATATGACTATATTCAGTTGGATCTTCATAAGGTTTTACTCCTATATACCGTCAGTCATATGCAGCATAGAAAATCTTGGACATATCTGGACTAGGTCAGTTTGTTTTTCCATATTAGCCCAACGAAATGTCAGGGTTGTATAAACAGTAACAGTATTAATGACAATGGAAAAGAATAGGGGCTGATTTGATTGAAAAAAGAAATATGAATTCATGGATAATTGAGAGGTTTAGGATCTAAGAAAAAGATAAAGAGTGTAATTACCTGAGCAGCTGAGAACAGTTCTGAAACAAATCACTCAAAGCCTTTAACCAAGTAGTGTACACTTACATAAGTAGCTTAGAAAAACAATCAATAACTTCATGAACTGATACCATGTCTTAGTATTACCGTCTCGGCCGTTCGGTCTATTCCGCCGCCGAATAAAAATTGCCAGTTGAGGTAGATTTCGGTAAGGGCATACATAACACATACGCCAAACACCTCAGCTGATGGAGATTTACGGTAGTATTGTTTATAGTAGTAGTAAGAATCATGATAACAGTATGACAAACATGATCGAATATTCGAATTAAGTTGAAACACGAGAACAAATCTTAGAAAGAATAACTGTTAAAAGTTGCTTAATACTGACATATGAACTGTGTAAATAATCAATGTTTAAATACCTGAATAGTGATGAAATTAGGTAACGTTGTTTATAACGCTTTCTGTGTTCTAGAAAGTTATAGAAGTATTATAAATTTCTTTTCAATACTAATACGACAGTCACAGACTTTGATATCTATAGCCTTCCCTATGTAAAATAGACGAGTTTAAAATTTCTTTGAAAAGTGCTATGGGATATGATAACCCATTTCCTATTGCTCTAGTTAATTCTATCTGTCATAAGCTAATCAACATACAAATGTAATAAAGTAAAGGTATGTATTTGTTTTGTTCGACTTCAAGTTAATGATTATTAGATAATTCATATCTTATTAGAGCAATCCCTAATCATTGATTAAAATATTGATAAACAACTATAGTTACCGGAAACAATCATTTTATATCAAATCATTTAGTAACTAACTTGAATTGTTTTAATGTCTTTAAATTTACAAACCTACATCATTTCATGTTAAAACAAAGCATAAAGATTTTGATGGAGTTTTGTTCTCTGAGCCGGATGGTTTGATCGTGGAGCTTTCATCGTTCTTCTGAACGACATCATCAGCATAACTTCAGGTAGAAGTGAAGTTTGTACTTATGATGTTTTTTAGAAGAACGATGAAAGCTCCGGGACCAAACCATCTAGCTCAGAGAATAAAACTCCATATCAAAACTATCCACCTGGACAACAAATCCTCTCCACCATTTCAAAAAGCGTAAAGAGAATTTTATTGAAAAGAATTTTCTTCACTAATGATATTTTGTTCCATGTTTAATCAGAACCGAATAATTTACCCTTTGATTGTATTTATTTCGTTATATATGCATATAACTGTCTATGTTACGTTGTGACCCCTGTGAACATTTTAGGCTATCAAGTCCCGCTATACTAAGACTATATGAACTCCCGAAAGTTTATTGGTAGAATGTCTCCTTATGTCTTATACTTGATATGAACAACTCTTTGAAACATTTGATTGCTAAATGGTTAGCTGAAATTTTAAAACCCATCAGAACTTATATCGATAGATACAATTCTGTTGATCTATTTGATTTTGTTGACTCAATTTGAAATATCCATATAAATGGCGGGAAAATGATCTCATCGATAGACTGACGGCGTTGCAATGGGTTCACGAAGGGGCTCTCTCTTGACTAATTGTTTCATAGCCAATCTGTAAAATACGGTACATCAATTAATAATCGAGATATTTCATTTATGTATGAGATATATGGATGATACGTTTGTTGTTTGTGAAGGTATGAACCTCAGTGAGTTTTTGAACTGATTCAATAATTGTCATCACCTAATTCAATTCACAATAGAAGAGAAGGCAAATAAGGAATTGCATTTTTTTAATGTTCGTTTGAAAAGGAGATTAGATGGTTCTTTACAGAGATCTTTGTGTAAAAGACCGACTTGAAATGGTAGGTATGCGAATTTTCACAACTGAATCTCATTGAGAAGAAAGCGAAACAACTTATTCTTTATCCTCGAAGACTAGGTAAATAAATCGTAATGAAATAATAGATGACGTACTATTCCAACTTTGGCAGATACTAATCAGAAGTGGTTATTCACCTAGATATGTCTATAGGAACTTAACACCAAGACAAAATCCTGGGAAAGAACCGAAAGTTCGAAATAAAAGTGTTTTTATGAATATCGAATTTAAAGGAGACACGGCTTTTGAAATCTTGAATAACTGGATTTCAAAATTCCTGAGTAAAACACTCTATTCAGCTAAGCTTTGTACTGTCTTCTCAAGCCGGTCTACCCATCACGGATATGTTAAGGATAAACTTCTGCTCTGGAGCACGTCGATGTGCATTTACTTGCTGATGTGGGGCAGGTTGCATTGGCCTCACAAAGCGATCACTTTCTAAACGCGTCTCAGGTCATTACCTGGCGTGGCTTTTAAGAAGGGAATGCAAAAATATCACCAGTTTAATACAGAAGGACCTGTTCAACTCTGGATACGTTGCTACAGAGGAGCCTTCCTTCAAAAAATCTACACAATCGAAGGAACTGAATAAATCGGAGACTGAATAAAACACTTGTGTACTGTTGATGCGTTGGCGATCGACCGATTCAAGCCCGAATTCCAAATGCGAAAACGATACGCATAAGCTTTTATCCTTCTTTGGCTTTAACTCTTCTGAAGTATGTCTTGGTCTTGTATTTTTTAAAAATTAGTGTTTTATAATTTTAAATGGTAATCGGTAATTATTATTCTTTAACAATTTCGATGGAGTTTTGCTCTTTCAGCTGGATTATTTGATCGTTCTTCTGAACGATATCATCAGCACAAACTTCAGATAGACGATGAAAGCTTCACGACCAAACCATCCAGCTTAGAGAACAAAACTCCACATTGAAATTATCCACCTGAGCTACAAATCTTTAACAATTTCTTATGATTATTATTCAATTCATTATTTATCTTTCTTCATATCTGTCAAGTGGACAATTATCTTTCATAATACTGACCTGTAAATTATTTTCATTCTCCTATTTTTCCCTAACCCACTTCACCCAATTACACAAACATTTGGCTATCAGGACGCAGTAGCTAAGTGGATAACGTGATGACATTTGAAGCGAACGGTACAGTGTTCGAGTCCCAGAGTGAACATCAACTCTGAGGCACAGGTACATTCTACTGAATAGTTTCAAATAGGACGAAACGCGTGTCCTGGATTCCAGTGCTAGCCATTATCCATTTACGCTTATAAAGTTTGGGCATACAGCTTTTAAAATTCTCAAATATTACAGCTAAGTCTTTTCTTCTGAATTGGTTCGAACTGAATAGTTTCAAATTCTAACTGTACTTACCGAAGTGCTTACAGGTTACTTAGGATTCTCCATCCTGGAAAACTTAAAGGGAAACACTACATCTGTTGGCTAAAGTTTTTGTATTTTTTGTGACACATTAGGTCATCAATTTTAATTGAATATTCTTGTAACCTTCAACAAATAAACAGGTTATTTAAAATATAGTCAAATAAAACCCACAATGAAAAAAAGCAGAAATTTAGCTAACTTACGATTCAATTACGTAGAAATTATCTCCATCATCACCTTGTTTGATAACTACATCACCTTCCTTAACTTTCATTTCTTGCATAGCATCAATAACTTTCGACTTTTGTTCCTTAAATTCAATAGTAGAACATTAAAACATGAGTGAATTATCTTACTAATTCATGATTGGAAATGACTATTATTCATAATTACAATGTTGACAAGTCAAGATCAAGGTATATATTAAGTTTATATATGTTACAAATTTGGTTCCTCATTATGTATTCTCGATAGTTCCTGTTTTCGAAACAGCAACAAGAAAAACTACACTAACTGGCCTGAATATTCAAACAGTAATATCCCTTTGACATTAAATGATTCTAGTTTGTGTCTAAATATTACAGTTATTCCATGCTAGTAAGTGTTAACTGACACAATGCCTTACTTTAGATCTTTATCTTAGTTAACTTTAATCAAAATATGATTCCACTATTTTTTTCTCTTTTCATACTTTTTATTCAAGTTTAACACTAATTGAAAATCCTTCTTAGATTTTCTAATGGTTGAGCGCTTACGCACGAGACTGGTAGATCCTAGGTTCGAATCTCGTTAGGCGAGATAGTGGATACACACTGCTGAAGAGTTCCACGATAGGACGAAACGGTCGTCTAGTGCTTCCAGGTTTTCCATGGTTGGTCTAGTTTCAATTAACTCATAATCTCAACTATTAAACCCCTTCTGATACAAATTAAAAATGGTCAAAATTTAGTGCTTAAACTAAGAGTAAAAACTCCGTATATGAAGTTATATTGTACATAAATTAGATCACCATAGAAAACAATGATGTTTGATTTTTATTTAATCAGTTTGTAGAATCATAAAAAGTGTTATATAATCACATGATTCGTTCATGTTTTGTATGAATTTATTTTGTTTATAAGAGATTCATATTTAGTGGGTTTATGTAAACTCTGTTAGATGTTTTATTTACTTGAGTGTTATCATTACTTCGTACAGAAACCATACTAGAAGACGAGGTTTTCTTCAACAATCTATTGAGTTTATTATTATGATTATTCTGCATGAATGCTTGTTTTAGCTTTATTCAAATTGATAAAGGGAACTAATTGCACGAAATTGTTGACTTGATTCCTGACTGAAGTTTTAACTATGAATCATGAATAAATAAAGATGACTTATATCGTTTGGTGTATTTTATTTATTTATTTTAACACATAGATATTGGTACAAGGAGGCACCAAATACATATGCGCCACACAGATCTCATTGGATATGTGTGAGGGCTGTGATACTGCTCGGGTGCCCAAACAGAAGCAGGTGGTTTTCTTAGGGAGCCACACCCCGAACCATCGACCTGAACGTCTGACCCACAAGGCAGTGGAGCATCGTAAGGAGATGCAGTCCCATGGTAGCCGGTGACCAACGATTGGTTAATACGCCATTTGTTCCTTCAGGATACTGGAGTGCATGTGTACCATTGGTTTGGGATCCGGTTATAGCACCGGACATTCGCTTTTCGTCCTCTCATTTTCGTAAACAACACCCCCGCCACGAGAAGGCAGTGAGTAGGACTTCCCTGGCAGGGGCTATATACGCGTGGCCATGTGAGAGCATTTCGAGAGGAAGAGTGGACTCGCCCCACTCTCGGCCGTACCAGGGCATTTGGGGTGTACTAACTTGTTGTACTAACTTCTGAGTCACGAATTTCTTATTTTTAAAACAGATTTACCAATATTGATTGGTAAGTATTTAAATATTCCCGTTGTTGATGTTAACTTATATACAACCTGAACGGATTGTCTTGATAGCTTTATTAAGTGAAGACCAGCTTTTTGTCTTGTTTGGGACTCGTCAGCTGTATTTACTTGCATTCTAGTGTTGATAATGCATTGAAGGTCTGAATAAAACAGGCACTGGTTTCGAATCTCTGAGATAATACTAGGATACAGGCACATTGAACTGACGAGTTTTAAATAGGATGAAAACCGTGTTACGGATTACTTTGCAAGAAACATTAAAAACCTGAAAGCAATAGACGTTCGTTTCGTTCTGGTATGGACTTCTCAACAGCGTGCATCCACGATCCGGTACATTGGGGCTCATACTCAAGACCTTTATTCTCGCACGCCAACTATTAACCTCTAGACCACTAAGTTAGCATCCAATCGCAGTCTAGTACTTTCAGGTATTCAATGGAGATGCAGCTTAAATCGACTAATGAATTGAATTATTAAAGTTACTACAATCTCCACAAACTCCCCATTCTGATCGTATATATTCGATAGATTTTCTGTAGTAGAAAATTAAAGTCCATTCTAACTGAATGCTTTAATTACTTATTAGACTAAAGAAATAACATTAATTAAACGTAACTTCATTTAAGAAAAGGGAAGAGAGAATTAGTTTTACCTTTGATGATAAATATTATAGAACAGTTCTTTAGAGAAATATTCCAAATAGAAAAGAAAAGAAAATATTAGACTGATTATCAATTAATCGTTTTGAAGATGTTATTGATTACTTATAAATTAAGCTTAATGAATAATCGTTAAATAAATTGAGTTCTATAGGTATAGGGATTTGTTGAGATTGTTAAATTTTCTTGGTTTATATCACAGAACAATGTTTAATAGATATACATTGAAGATCATGTTGAACTGGATAGTTGTTTCATCAAAGCACAGAACTCTTCAGCAGTGCGCGTCCACAACCCAAGAAAGAATATTCAGGTTTCTCTTTGAGTGCTTAATCTTTAGAGCAATGAGTTGGGATCCAGTAGTTTACAAGTCTCACCTTAACGAATTTGCAATATTGCAATATTGTCTAACTATAACTAGTCTTTAGTGACCCGATATCTAACTCCAGTTAGATCGTACGAATAATTGTTATTGAAATACACATTTCGCCAATCTTCGCATATAATTATTGGCTTAACTCGCGTTGGTGGAGAATGGAATAAAATGAGTCGAATAGGAGAATGAATTTTGGAAAAACGAAGAGAAATGACGCACGGTAGATGAAGCATGTAAACCAACCCAATTTAAATTAAGCTTTAATCATTATTTGTAGTCAGATGAAAATAAGTTCCAGATATGTGATGAGTAGCATGAGAAGTGCACACACATACGCTCACATAAAACAGTCAAGGTTGATAAGGGAATAATTAATAAGGTCAAAATTTAGCTTGAGAAGAATGAATAGATTGATCTGTTCAGAGGCTAGAATAACTTATATTGGCTTGAAATAGTACCAGCCACTACAAGTCCATTATGTGAATTATGAAGAATCAAATGCTTTTATCAGTTATGTTTTTGAATTTATTGTTAATCCAGCTCTCTCTAACTGTCAATCAAGGTTTACATATCAAGTTTCAGTCTAGCCATTAACTTTGTTTTAGATTTGATTTAGATGTTAGGTAGTCTGAGTTAGTTGAATCAGAAACATTGTTTGACCTAGGTTTAGTGCTACTTGATACTTATTAGGTAGGCTTGGCTGCAACCTTAAAAAACTAATTTTCACCTGATTTGTTTGAATCCTAGTCACTCAGTTTCACAGTGTGAGATTTCATTGACAAGCTGTTTGAACCTTATGTATGATTATTAGTTTCCTGACGCTTAACAGTACATCTTCTTCACAAGTAGTAACTAGCAAATATCCTGGGTTAAACAGGGTATCATAGATACTAAGAGAAGATCATTAAGACATTTAAGTAATCAGAATATTAGGGAGAAGTTTACCAATACTATTACTGTTGCTACTACTACTGTTGTGAACGACAGCACCAGTGGGGACTGAAGATGCCGCAGGTATTTGGGGTTTGACAACGCTTTAACCAGTAAAACCTTCTAATATGAATCGTACTCAGAAAGTGAAATCGAAAGACAGAAGCGCGGAGGTTTGAAGATATATTTAATAGGCTATCAATATATCGAGAATCGTCTGATCTAATCTAGCTGGCGATTGCAGGGAATGTTGAGCACGGCGTTCTCACTCGTGATCTGGTGCAGATGCATGACCGAACGCCTTCAGCTAGGTGAATTCATTAAAACTAATGTGGTCAGCATCCAATGTCGAAAACTTACAGAGCTATTTATTTTGGGGATTCATTTACCGCTACAGGACAATCGAATGTATTTCAATACAAAATTACAGAACCATGCAGTAAATACTTCATTAGTAAAATGTCCATCAGTTGTCTCAGACTTCATTGCTCTTTCATTTCCATACCAATCATTTTATGTTCTCGTTCTTTCCTCTTCGACTTTCTGCCTCCGAGTATTTCACTTTCGACTGATGTCATATACTACTTATATCTGTCAACATAAGTAGCGCACACCAAATTACTACTACCAATAGTAATAATAATAATAATAATAATAATACTCGCTATACTTTCTTCATTTTAAATTGACATCTATTTTAAATGTATATCAGTCTTAAATATTCTATATTCAATTATTCGTCACAACATTGATTTGTAAAGCATATCATATCCATTAATAAGTGAAAAAGTAAAAGTTAAGGTGTGCCTTTTGTTTCTACCATGGAAAATGTTCATTTATCTTGATGTATTTCATAAATTGTCTAACAAATAAACAAACAAACAAACAAACAACCAAACAAATGAAGGTTGTTTACTTTTACTGGATTTAGCATAATCTCTAAGTAAGTTTATTATTTGTTTTTTGAGAATGCTCAATTGCAGTGCTTTAGTGATTGAATTAACTTCATTTAAAAATAAACAAATAAGTAAATAAACATTAAGAATATGTTCCAATTATAGAAAATAAACAAAATTCAATTATTTATTAAATATAAATAAATTACATTTTAGTGAAAATTGAAAATCAATCTGTTTTGAATATTTGGATTACTAATACTTGCCATCTAACTATTTCAACAAGTTATCTGGATGAGACTATAATTTATGAATGACTTTTGAGCAATACTAAACTGTTTTTAAGAATGTCCACATATATAGTAAAGCTAAATAAAGGTTTGATTCAAAGTTGATAGTTAGGGTTAGGAATTAGATTTGGGGTTTTCATCACGAATTGGAATCAGCTAAAATGTGAAAACGCCATTTAGCCAAAAAATAGATGACATGTTATCGTAAATCTGATTTTCAAGGTCAGTTTAGCGTTGCTCATAGCTTGTCCATAAATTAAGTTCTCATATTTTCAAAAATAAAGAATTAGTTAAGAACCATATGAGATGTACACTTATTGTCGGTTAAGCGTTCGCGCTCGGGACCGAAGGTCCTGGGTTCGAATCCCGAAAGTGTGATCATGGGTGCGCATTTCTGAGGAGTCCTACACTTGAATGAAACGGGCGATTTAAATGATAGTCTAACATTGATCGGTTCATGATATCAATCAGAAACTTAATAATCTTCTCAACCTCGTACTGATAAAACGAAATTAGCAGTTTAAAAATCCCTATAGAATATTCAAAAAATGAAGAATATTTGAGCGAACAATTGTTTTCGATTACTTCATTATCAGGCTCTACAGTTATAAGTCCATAATTATGCATTTTTTTCTGGATAAAGATACATGTATACGATTGAATAATTACACATAATCAAAGACATTTTTATAAACTGACAGTTAACCAACAGTAGCTTGGTATGTTGATTTATCTATTTCTCAAAATACATGGAATTAAGGAATTAGAACAATCGGATTTTAGTTTAGTGGTCGAGTAATACTGTTGTACATGAGAAACTTGAATGTATTGAGTTGACTTTACTATAATAGGCAAATTAGTGAAACAGCCTAACAAATTTATTTAAACACATAAACATTGGTACAAGGAGGCACCTAACAGATATGCGCTATATAAATCATTCTATTTGTGTGAGCACTCAGATACTGCACGAGTGACCAAACAGAAACAGGGGATTTTGTTAAGGGACCACACCACGATCCTTTGAGTTGAAGGTCTAATCCACAAGGCAGTGGAGTAATGTCAGGAGATGAAGTCTCATGGTAGCCGGTGACTAACAATCGATTCATGCGCTATTTGTTCTCTCAGGATCCTAGAAGCCATGTGCACCATTGGTTTGGAATGAGGGTTTTCCAACTCTCTTAAGTGGATCCTCTGTGTCCATCGACCCAGGTAAAGCGCCGGACATTCGCTTTTCGTTCTGTCAATTTTGTAAACAACACCCGTGGCGCGAGAAGACAATGAGTAAGACTTCCCTGGCAGTGATTGTATGCACGTGGCCATGTGAGAGCAATTCAAGTAGGAGAGCTGACTCTCCCAAATCTCTGCCGTACCAGGGCATTTGTGAGCGAAACAGTCTAACTATTACTGTTCACGAGGAATGATATAATAATACTAAATAAAGTAAGTTCTAAATATTGAAATCAAGAGGTAGTCATCAGATATTCACAATCTAACACTAGTTCATTCAATCCATGATCATCACATACAAAGTTAAATCTGTACATTTTTTATACATGTCTAAACATTTCACTATTGATAAAAATGAATGAATGCAAATGATTAAAACTGATCTCATATAATACATCTCAAATGAACTTCATGATCTCCTAGTTTAAATCAATGTGAATGTCTCTCACTAGTGATATAATATCAATTTATGTGATATATGTATATATGGGTTTTAGTGGCCCGAAATCTGACTCCAATTTAATCGTGTGAATGATTACTATCGCCTATCTTCGTATATAATCATTGACTTAAATCGCGTTAATTAATAACGGAATTAAATAAGTCAAATAACGAGGATGGAGTTTTGAATGCATATATTTTGTATAATTGTTGATTAGACAAACGAACGGAGGAACGGTGCGAAGATGAGAAAGCGAAGCTAAATTGGCGCGCGGTGGAGATGGCTGGTAAGCCAACACCTTGTTAACCAAGCGTTAGTCAATATTCATAAGCACACAAAAATAAATTACAGACGTGTGATGAGTAACGGGATAAGAAGCATACATACACCTACGCGCTCATACAAAGACGGTCAAGATATTGATAAGCGAATAATTAACAAGGTCAGAATGTGACTCAAATAGAATGAATAGAATGGGCTGTCTGAAAGTTAGAATAATAAGGTATTTGGGCTTAACATAATGACAGACACTACAGGGTCATTATATTTTGATTCAATCATAGAATAATATCATAATTTGAATGGATTCTAACAACATTAAATCTAATCCATTATTATTGTATACTTCTAAAGAGTCTTGATTTAAAACAAAAACAGGTTTAAGATCTTTTCCAATGTTTAATGTCTCCTTAATAGGTTTTAATTAAAGTTGTATATGTGTTTCATTATAAGGATAGTTTATTTCTTATCTATGAATAACTATATTCATCCATGAATCTATCAGAAGGTCACGTTTACGTGTTTTCCCCCTTAAATATATATATATATATATATATATATATATATATATATATATATATATATATATATATATAACGATATTTTTACGAAAGAGGTGGTGTTCAATCAAGATATATGAAATAGAAGAAAATGGAATATGAATTGAATCAACAATCAATTCAGAAACACATTCACAAAGAGAAAATGATCCGTTTATCTTAAGAGAGAATCTAAGTTTAAATAAGCTTGTCTTTTCTTTTTCTTTTTCTTCTTCTTCTTCTTCTTCTTCTTCTTCTTTATCTTCTTCTCTTTCTTCTAATATCTCAAATATATATCTATAATATGCTGAAATGTGTTAATTAATTCAATTTCTAAGCTTAATTTGTCCTTTATTTCTTTGCTTAGATTAAGGTCAAAGAAATGTTGATTGTAAACAAGATAATTCATATTTAAATAATGTTGTAATGTAATTATGAATAGAGAAATAATTACAAGATTTATATAAAATAAACAAATGATAGAAGATACAATTATTTAGAGTGAAGTTTTGTGGATATTATAATAATTTATTAATTGAATTCATCAGTTAATTAAAGTTAGACTATCATGGAAAACCTGAAGGATGCGACTCCTTAGAAGTACATATCTACTATTCCATTTCGTTGGATTTGAACCCAGGACCTATGAGTATCGCGCACGAGCGCTTAACCTCTAGACCATGGTGTTAATGTTTAACTTCAACCAATCCATGAAATTGAGCAACATATCCACGATTGTCTTCAGTGAGTTACTATCTCACAACAAACCCAGTTGAACTTCACTGGTCACTGCTCCAAATCTCGCGAGGTGGGATTGTGGATGTACACTGCTGAGAAGTCACATATTAAAACGAAACGGCTGTCCAGTGCTTCCAGATTTTCCATGGTGGTCTAGCTTCAATTGACTCATGATCTCAACTATTAAAATTACTATAATATCCACATGATCCCCTTCTGTTATTATTACCATGTTATTGTCCAAACGGATTTGCTATAGTATGAATAATAAAAGGAAAATCGCTCAGACTTACTTCATCAAGGCATCGAAAGAGTAGAATTTCTTTGACAGCATTAGTTAGCCTAGCTCGTTGACTATCCGATTTCGGATAAATTTGTCTCTCTTCATCATTATTATCATCACTATCTTTTTCTGGATCAAAACTTTCGGCAGCCACTAAAAATTGTTCAAAAGAACAATAAAAGAAACAGATTAATAAGCTTATGATTATTGTGTTTTAATAATTTTTTATATCAATAGAATATTGGGAATGTTTTCATGAATACCGACTAAATATGTAAAAGCTGACACTAGTTGATTACCAATGACATACTGATCTAATCCTTTAGGTATTGTTTGAATTCTATCTATCAAGTTATGTTATAACATGTGATCCGCCTATTAGAGAGCAGCCTATTATCGATCGAAACAGTGACGCACAAAATACGTGTGAGCAGCCTAGAGCTCTGATTGGTCCTGCTTCCCTGTCTAGCCCAGCCAATTGAGTCCAGAACACAAGTCTCAGCCTCGGAGATATGAATCGTTATATTTCAAGCATACACTGTTTATATACCAAACAAACAGACTACATCGTAGCATAAATAGAAAGTAACATTTGTACAAGATTTGACCTTCAGGAAATGACACAAATAAATATTGACCAATAAGATGACACGCTGGAAGAATGTTGACCAATGGGGAAATGACACTACTTCTCATTCAGGAATAGCATTAGATAATTTCTGGGGTATTTTCTGAATACCCCAACAAGTTACAAAATAGACACTAATCTGAGTGCTTTAAAATCACATATAGTATGTTGAGATGTTAGATCCACAATTTTGTGTAGACTACTTCCAACCACATAAAGTTTGAAAACAGGGCACTTAATATTGAGTCACTCAGACTTGATAGATACAATTCAATCAATACTGAAAGGCTAAATAAACATGACATTATTCATTACTCAGTGATTAAGTAATTGTAAATAGCTCAGCCTTATGAAGGATAAATCATGATCTGAAGAGAATAATCTGTTATTCATTCAGATTGATAAAAAGTTAATTAATGCCTTATATTGAATTGGAATGTATCAAAGAGAGGAAAAAGTTCAAATCTCTTAGAAATGCTAAATATGAATAATATTAATGGATAGTGATATAATCTTATAGAACTTTTATATTCTGAATATCCTCTAATCCATTCATTTGAATTCCACTAAGTTCATCCATTTACCAATGCTCTACTCCCAATTTCGTCAATTTTTCCAGTCATGAAAGCGTAATATTGGTTAAATAACGGCTGATTCTATTAAACAATCCCTTTACATGAGTGATTTTTTAAAATGCTAATTTCATTTTGAAGATAAATTCGATTGTAAGTCACGTCTATTAAAGTATAATCAAAAATCTTAATAGATATTTCACTATTAACTGTGACTTCTCAAAACTAACTATCAATAAACACATGAGGTATTAGATCATAAACATTCATATGGTGAAGTTTGTATCCAATAGTTTTGATCCGGATTAGTTAACAAGGTTGTTTTCTATAGATGGGGCTTGCTTACCCTATGCCTAAGTCTACTCTTTTATTCAGGCTTGGGACATGCAGTAACCTTAAAAAGGCTCCGGGCACAGAACTACTGCAACTATCATTAAAAATTACTGGCATTCATAAGTAGTTGTCTACACAAGACACTTCCGATCCATTGGTCGGATACAGTTGACTGGAGAATCTTGGCCGACGGCCTACACTCCATAAGGGATAACAGGTATAAGTAAAAAATAAAACAGTTCACATTTTTCAACTGCAATATAATGAATTGATTATCTAATGTCGTCAATAATCAACTATCTCACTTTTAAGTCTAAGCCTGATACTAGAAATACCCATAATTCATTACGAAGGTAAGCGATTGTAGGTAGCCGCAAAACAATACACCTTGATCAGTCACTGTCCTGAACTATCAAAATAAAGAGAACCATTTATCGAATTCTTTGTACTTAACGATACCACTATAACCAATGCAAGTGCACAACAAAAACTATCTTCTAATCACATTTCAGTTAGAAGTCAACGACATAATATATATCTCCTAATTAAATGGTTAAAATAATCACCTGGCAGCTAGTTGATAAGAAATATATACGTTCAGTGATCACTTATTAACTATGAAGGCTTCAAAAGTTATTTAAAGTATCATTACTCTTTCAAAATAAGAAATAAATGGAAAAGCAATAAAGATGCTCTTTTTGCATTCTATAGCTAAATTCAATAGTGAAGAGAAATGTCCATTAAAAAACACCAAATAATATTCATCTTATATGAACAGTAAAATGTAGCTTAAAAGTAAGTCAAAGAGTTATATTTATCATAGTTGAAGTCATGAGTCGATCTAAGCTAGCCTACCACTGGAAACCTGGAATCATTGAACTGCAGTTCCATCCTAATATGGAACTCTTCAGATATGTGTTCACTATTCCGCATGCGGGATTCGGACCTAGGACCTTGTGCGCAAGCACTTAACATCTAGACCACTGAACAGATATCAAAAGGTTTTAATGTTTAACTTCAATCAATCCACGATATTGAGTGACCATCTTCTATAGTCTTCAGTGTGTAACTGCTTCACACCTGACACAGTTGAACTTCATTGGTCATAGCTTCACACTAGAATTTCAGGAGTTCCATTTTGAATGTAGACCATAGTAGTCCAATTCGGATCAAGTGAGGACAGTTACCCACCTCAGATAATGGATGGAGGGTTGTGCAATATTATGCATCGATTCAAGTTAATTATTAACACCGTTAGATGCCAACTGACTTGGTGGTCTAGGGTTTAAGAAATCGCAAGCGAGACCAAAGGTCTTACGAGATCGTGAATTTGCACTGTTGAAGAGTTCTATATTATAAAAAAACATCCATTCAATGCTTCTAGGCTTCCAGTGGTAATCTAGTTTGGACTAGCTTGTGAATTCAACTGTTAAAATACTACAATCTTTACAAATTCTCATCTATAAGTATTACAATCATTAAATAGAAAATATATTTTTGTTTTTTGAAGGTTCAATTAGAGATGAATGAAAGGTTATAAAATGTAATTTGTCAATAATGGTCAATAAAAATGTTCTTTTTCATTTCTATTAACAAATGACTATATATACAGTATTTAAAATATTATTCTAAACAGGACAAAAACTCTCTATTATAAAGGTGAACAGAAACAAATTAAAAAGGAATTACCAGATGTTATTTATTCAATTGAATGAAATTAAGTGTCAGATCTAAGAAATTCACCAAGACATAGTAACATATGTTATGAATGTTTAGTTAAATATAATTAAAAAAAATATTCACTTGGGTTTTAACACTTTTAATGATTAAATTACTAAGATATATTCTTGAAATAAGGTACTTTACAGTCAATTTATATAAAATATTCATGATTTACATTAGAGGTATAATGGTTATTAGATAACTAATGAAAATCAGGAAGAAATGGATTCCTTAATAATGTTCATCAATGAACTCATCAAGGATCGAATCAAGGACCTTCAATCTTACGTCATGAGTTTAAAATTAAGATCACTTAGCCGATATTTAATCATGTAAATGTCTAACTTCAATCAATTCGCGATGTTGTATGATCATCTTTTATTATCCGATATAGATTACTGTGTCACACCTGACATGGTTAAACTTCGTTAGTTAATAATCTAAGCAAATCTTTTATGTTTATTACGTAAAATTGTTAATAAGTAGATTGAATTAAAATTTTGTTAGCAATAATTTATATTTTAGATGAGTTGATGGATGGAGTTTTGTTCTCTGAGCTGGATGATATTGTTGTGGGGCTTTCATAGTTCTTCTGAACAACATCATCATCAACACAAACTTCAGGTAGAAGTGAAGTGTTTGAATTTCTCCACATATGGTTTACAGCTTTTCCTGTAGACCTCGATGTTGATTGGTTCTTGTTAACCTTAAATCTGTCATTGTTTACTTCTTTATTTTGATTGTATCTCCCATTGATTTAATTCTGGGTATTATAATCGTCTTATATTCATTTCTACCTGAAGTTTGTGCTGATGATGTTGTTTAAATTAACAATGAAAGCTCCATGACCAAACCATCCATTTTAGAGAACGAAACTCTATCAAAATCATCCACCTGAGCTACAAGTCTTCTCCACTATCTCGAGGTTAAACATGTTATGATTTAATACAAGTATGATTGTAAACAGCTGAGATGAGACCACAAAATAAAATGATTTCATATGATTGTGCTTCATTTATTGTCTTGGCTTTATGTAAAATCGTCAAGGGAAAAACAGTTTTCGGTTGAATTTTCATCAAAATTGACATGAACCGTTTCATATAAGTTTAACATCTAATACATACATATGTAGTCGTATACTTGTAATGATTACTTAATATTTACAATTAAATAAATAGTAATGATGTTTCTACATGGGGTCTGGCTTGAATTTTCACTTCTTTACTCCTTTTCTTCAAGGGAATAGCCGAGATTAAAACTTTCCAAAATTATATAATATCGCAAGAACGAATGTTTACGAAGTAATAATTACACAATCTATATTATCTGTCTATGGACTCCAGTTGATAATTACATCACCCACCTCTTTTGTTTTTTTAATTCCAACTCTTAATGTTTAGGACCTTATTCAGGACTGCAATTGATCAGTCTCTTGTTAGTATATGTGTATCCCGTATAGATTGTCTCGATTTGCCTTAAGTTATAACAATAGGAAGATACAATCAAACAATGCCAAATGAATTTAAGTTTCATCCCATTTCAAAAGCATGTGGCTATCAGGACTCAACAGCTAAGTGGATAACGCGATGGCACTTCAAACGAACGGTATTGGTTTGAAGTCTCAGAGCGAACATCAACTTTGAGATACAGGTACATTTAGGTGACTAGTCCCAAGTAGGACGAAACGCATGTCTCGGATTCCACTGCTAGCTTATAAAACATTTGATAATACATTTTACAATATCTTAGTAGGACAGATATCAAGACTCGATACGGTCTGAAAAGGATTAAGTTTAAGTACATCATTTGTAATCAGGTTATAAATTGAATTTCAGTTAGTCGCATTTACCTCCTTCAATCAATCAAAATTGTTTGAAAATTTTCAAAGGAAACTATAA